TTGTATAAAATTATTAACGATTTTAATATCCCTTTTATTTTTTATTTATTTATTATTATTATTATTATTATTATTGTATAAAATTATCAACGATTTTATTATCCCTTTCATTATTTTTTTTACTTTAATTTCTTTTCTTTTTTTTTTTTTTCAATACGCGTAAACAAAACTTTTTCCGAAATATCGGGGACAAACCGTTCGAAATAAAAATTTATATTCTCCGATATTATATTCTTTGATATAATATTATATTATATTATATTTATATTATATTTATATTATATTTATAATTTATATTATATTATATTATATGTATATATTTATTTATTTTTCTTTTTGAATTTTTAATACTATTCAGAACGATGCTGGAAGGGGTGGAGGTGGGGATGCGGATGTTTTACTTTCGAAAAGGGGAAGGGAAGAAAGAAAAAAAAGGAAACACGTTGTTGACACGAACGTAACTATTAATTAGCAAAGCACGAAAATTCTCTATGATGCGACCCCAATTAGCGTTAACGCGACCGAAAAACTTATGAACTTGACATTAAATTTCGAACCGAACGGGAAAACGTTAGCGCGTTTAATTTGCACTACGTTTTATTTTTCGTCCTCGTTTAATATAATACAAAGCTTTTATTTCAAAAAGATCGTCGTTTATGTATAACGTATACATACACACACACACACCCACATAAATGTTTATAATTACACACATATAAATATTTGTCACTGTAACGCGTGTATAATTCGTAATTAGATATCACTCGAATAACAATATGGTATTTGATTTGTTTTTGAGGGGGGCGGGGGAAATTATTTTTGTTCTTAAGCAAGTAAGCAAACAAATTAGACGAATTTGTTTAAATTATAGCAATTTCGGACGAGTTCATTTTCTGTTTGATGCAATCGTTTGATTTCTATACGTTTGATACTACACAAATGTATGTATATATATATATATTTAATTTTATTATTATTATTATTATTATTATTATGTAATTTTATTTTATTACATTTATATATAATTTTTTATATAGTTATTTTATTTTATTACATATATATATATATATAATTTTTTGTATAGTATTTTATATTATTACATATATATATATGTAATATAGTAAATTAAATATATAAAAATAATAATTACAGTAAATTAAATATATAAAAATATATAAATTGTATATAAATTAAATATATATATATATAATACAGTAAATTAATTTTACTGATCACAACGTTCGCGTATCGAATTAAATAAAAAAAAAATAAAAAAAAAACAAGGAGGGGTCTCGTGGTGGGAAGTGAGGGTGACTTCGGTAGAGAGAGAATAATAAATCTAATCGTAAAAATTTGAACGAAATTCTTTGTACGTGAAAGAAAAAGAATAAGAAATACTAGAAGATGAAGGATTGATCTAATAATAATAATAATACGGAAGTATATGCAAATCTAAGAACATCTTTTGATCTATCAGTCCAAATCGATGGACATGAACGTAACGGGTAGGGAGAGCAGGGAGGGAGGAAGGGAGGGTAAAGGGGGCCTCTTTTTACGTATCGGCACGTAAACCACCAAGTGACGACGAATTTCTTTCCTACGTGTTCAGATTTTAAACTAAAATACATTCACCCTACATTATCGATTTGCTAGTTTAAAGAGAAACAGAGATAAAGAGAAAGAAATAGAGAGAGTGAGAGAGAGAGAGAGAGAAAGAAATGGGTATAGAAAAGAGAAAGAAGGGGTGGGTTGAAGGGAGGTGGGGGGGGGGTGGTTCGATCGGTTCATAAGTAGGAAAGAAATAGAAAGGGAAACGTAGAAACGCATACGCACAAATACACATACACATTCCATACAAAAATATATACTATTATTATTATTATTATTATTATTATTATCATTTCACGACCACATAGAGTGAATTTAATCGTGCGTGTTTAGACTTTTCGATAAAATCGATTGGTGGGCATTGGTAAAGTGTTGTTTCCAAAATACGACGAATGGAAAGTTATACAGGGTGAAGGTTGGGGGGTGATAGGGGGTGGGAAGGGGGTTCGTGAAATAAAATGAACAGTTTTTGTCGAAAGAGAAAAATATATAGGAATAGAATGAGTAGAAAAATGGGAGAAACTTGCAAGCCCTTTTATTTATCCGTGCGTATACTTCCTCTGTCTGTCCCGTTACTTTTTGCCCTCTGAAGC